TCAGAAAAACAAATCAGGCCGATATGTGGAATCAGGGTGGCGTGAGCTGCATATTTATAGCTCTGTCGACACAGGAAGGTTCGTGACATAGGCTACGAACTTCTGCAGCCGCTTTATTAAGTGGAATAAACAAAATCCATGCAAAACGGCACAAACTTCACCAGAGACACGCTACTGGGATTCTCCCAATCTCAACACTTCCAGCTTGTTCCACTGAAACGTGTCTGCCGGACTCAAAACGTGCTCCACATCAGAACAACCTGATTAAGTTGAAGGAGCGAAAGGCAGCAGCAGCTCGCAAGGAGCAAGGAAGCTTGTCAAACTCCCAGTACCCCCACCTTCCCCGCTAGTGAACAGAGGGTCCCCTGGAGCAGCTCCCTCTGTGCCTGCCCGAGGGCACCTGCCAAGCTGGCTTAGCCCCCCCACCCCACCATGGTGGCTTCACACAAGCAGCAGCATGCCGGGAGTCCCAGGAAGAGTGGGGCTGGAACGGGCATCCTGTAACTACAGCCGGCACCCAAATCCAGGCCTCCTGCCTGTTTTGTCAATAAAGTTTTATGGGCACACACCCATGCCCATGCCTACGCCCCACCATTCACAGAGGGCCCAAAGCTGCTTTCAGCAGCCACACACAGCTGAGCATGTGGCTGCAGAGCCCACAGAACGTAGTGTCTGGTCCTTTATGGGCAAGGCCAACCTACCAACCCAAGTGAGAAGACATAGGAGCTTGGGGTGAGGGACGGGGATGGGTTGAGGGAAGCCATGGCAGAGAATGGGAGGAGGGGAGGGGAAGACATACAGGGCAGCCATGAAGGCAGAACACAAAACAAGGAAGGAAACGAAAGGAAGCAGCAGCAGGTGTCGGGGTGGGGAACAGAGAGATGCACACATCCCGCACCTATCACGCATACCCGACTTCCAGCACGGTCATGTTCTCCCCCTCTGTCCCCCTGGACCCTGCCTTCTAGACAGGCAATCCATCAGGCAGGCGGTAAGCTGCGGAGAGTTAATCCACCTCAGTAATCAGACCCCGAGGGCTGTGGGGGTGTTCTCCCTGCATGCACTTCGTGGCTCCCCATGGCCCCTGAAGGCAACACTGGGGGCTTGCCAGTGAGCACCCGGAGCACCACTGCTGATCCAGGGCCCACATGTGTCCCCCAAGCGATAGGTACATCCATGCAGTGACAGAGGTCTTGCCTAAGAGACACCAAGGAACCTTAACAACCAGGTTCTACGAAGTGACGTAACTTATCACTGTGTGTCCGTATGTAATGCTCAACTAATACACTTCTGACAGGCCTTTCGGGGCAGTGTTGAAAGCTCTTGAGTTCCTAGTACATAAAACATCGCTGCTTAATAACCAAGAACAGGAAACTCTGCCCCAAGCCCTGGAGAGCAGCACCCCGTGGCCTGCAGGGCCCGGGGTCAGCACATGGCCTAGGTGACCCAGAGAGTAGGTTCCAAGCCGGGGTGCCCGCACCTGCTCCTGGCACCAGCGTGCTGCCCCTGCTCCACTCGCTGAGCCATGGGTCTCTCCCAGGGCTGGCTGCCCACTGAGGGTCAGGAAGCAGGCAGAGCCGAGGCCACAGCCCCTCTGCCACCTCCAAGGACCCGGGGCCTCAGCAGAGAGGGGCTGGGGGCTCCTGTCTAGAGCGCAGCCCCACAGCAGAGAGAAGGGGTAAAATAGGCTTCAGAGACCCTGGCTTCAGAGCTGCCCTGCAGTAGACGGTCTGGACCCCAAGCGGGTGTGGTGAGGACACGGGACCCCATGGCAAGACCATGGCAGGCTGGGAGATGGGACGAGGGCAAGTAGGGCTGGGCCCCCCAGGCTGCCACAAAGACAGGGGCTCCATGAGCCTGTGTGGACAGAGTGACCCCACCTGCAGCCTCCCATGCCCACCCACTCTCCGTCCACCAATGGGGACACACGTCTGCAGGACTCAGCTCTGCCAGGCCCATGTCTGGGTTTTGGTGTCCCACCTAGAAGGCAGGCTCTACCACTGCCTCCTGGAGTCCACGAGGCTCCTGAACCTGAGAGACCCCAACTCACAGCCCACGGCCACTACCCCATTCCTTCTGTCCCAGCCATTGGCTCCCAAGGAAGCTGTGCATCAAAGCCCCTGTTTGCTGACTCATGTTGGGGGCGGGGGGACTGCATCCCTAGCCTAAGCCTGGTCCCCCGCCTGGCCAGAACCAAGCACACCAAAATGCCTCCAGAGGTTCTCCTCCGCCCGCTGTGGAGAGAGGGTCTGCACAGTGGCTGGGGATGGGCCCACCTTCAGGGAGGTTGCGGGGATAGGATGCCCACCCATTCAGAGACAGAAGCTCGTCATAGACGGTGATGGCGGGAGGGGCAGAGCTGCCCCACAGCGCTCCCACCTCTCACTGCTGGCGTTACTGGGCAGGCTGATCTTGGTGCCGCTGCTCTGGACACAGCGGGCACGGTCACCTTCACATCCACTTCATCCCTGAGCTCGCCCAACTCTTTCCTGAACCTGGGACCCACCGCCAACCCCCTCTGAATCCCCCCTTTTTTTTTTTCACTGCAAAGGGCTTAGTTCTTAAAGTTGGGCCTCCTTCTCCCTGACTCAGACCTCCTCCTGGATGGTGCTCGGGGGCAGCAGCCTCCCACAGGGGAAGCGGGTAGTCCCGGTGCTGCAGGAGAGCCAGCGTGGTGCCGGGAAGAGAGAAGGTATGGACAGAACCTGGGCCATTCCCTCTAAGGGCTGCACACCCTCCAAGATGCTGACAGAGCCACCCCCGGGCCCACGTGAGACCCCTTTGCGGGGCAGCCTGATGACCTTGCGGGGCCCGTGGAGGGAGCCTGATCTCTGTGCCCCTGCCAGGACCGAGGCTGTGATGCCCGGGAACAAGAAGGACTTTGTGCTTTCCCACCTTTTCTACCTGTCTACCATGTTCTCCTCGTCCTCCACTGACCACAGAGAGGGGCCGTCTATGTCCATGCTACCTGGAGCACTTCTGTGACATCATCGAGTGGGGCTGCCCCTGCTCGGGCTGCCGGAGAACTAGCCAGACTAGCCCAGACAGCATGGGACAGCGTGAGCAAAGTGGGCTCTCTGCGAGGATGACGGACGTCCCCACAAGTGGATGAGCCAGAGCTTCTCGCAGGCCCCTCCCATGCACGCTGCATCCTGATCCCGCACACAACCCCAAGAGCAGAGGCGCCTCGGCTCCAGCAGCCGCCAGCAAAGAACTGAGCTCATCAGGCACACGGTCCTCCGGCAGAATGAGCTCTGTGGATCGCACATGTGGCAGGCCTTGCCATGGGGTCCCTTGTCCTCACTGCACCCCCACACCGCCCCCAGGACGTGTGTCGGATAGCCGCCTGTCAGCCTCCTGGGGAGGACACCCTGCTTCCAGCACAGATGACGAGAGAGGGGCTCAGCAATGACAGTGGGAACAGAGGCTGAGGAAACACTGCCTGTCCCCACCCAAGGCCTGGACACAGGAGCAGGACCCGTGGCTTTGTCTGCTGCCACCTGGTGGGGGCTGGGAGGCGCACAGCTCTCGACACGGGTAGACCCAGGCCTCTGAGCAGGATGGGACTGTTCCAGGTCCAACTCCGGGGATGCGCTGACCCAACCACGGCCTCCACACTCCAAAGGCTGGGGTCTGTTTGGGGGGCAGGGGGAAGTGCCTGCTGATCACTAATACCTGAGTAAGCTTCACTTCACCTGCTTGCTGATGCTCCAGAAAGGCCAGGGGACAGTAACCGGTGGGCCCAACTCAGGAACACCTGGCTGCCAGTCTCCCTATGCTCGGTCCACCCTGCAGGCAGCAACCTGGGCCCGGTGTGGGGGGGGGTGCTCCTGTGGAGGCTAACAGAGCCTGTTGTAGATGACAGGGTGTGGAGGGCACGTGGAGAAGGACCAGACAGGATGCTTTGCTGGGAGGACCAGGGCCTCTGTTCTAGCAGGCAGGACAGCGAGCAGAGCCAGTGAATGGGCTCTGAGGCTGCGTCTCAGGGTCAGCACCCAGCCTCAAAGACAGGGGATCCCAGGAAGCCGGAGTTATGCACTGGGGAGTCTCTTTCCCAATGCAGATCTGGGTCACTGGGGCCTGGGAGAAGGGCAGGAAGTCAACAAGGGGCTCGCCTGCTTCTGGAGGGGCCCAGCCGTGCCCACATCCAGAAGCAAAGACGACAGTGACCAGGACAGAGAGGAACAGACCGTGGTGGTGGTGACGCTGGCCGAGCCTGGGCATCCTCCACGTGTCTGGACTCGCCCAGGACTCCAGAGGTGGGTGGATGGGAAGGCTGGGTGATGCCCTACTCCACTGCTGACCACAGTTAAGGGGGAGGAGAGAGTTAGGGACCTTCTCTTCTGAGACTGGGCCAGTCCTGAGCAAGGAGGCAGGACTCCAGGAGGGGAAGACTAGGAGGCGAGTGGGGCCCATGGCAGGGAGCTGAGACAAAGCCGGTGCCCATCTGTCCGCCAAAGCCTCTGCTAAAAGCCGTTGGTGGGAGGGGCGAGCCCATGTTGGAAGCCTCAGGGCCGGGGGCCGGATGTGCAGGCCCAGCGAGCTAAGACGGGGTGACCACGCCGGTCAGTGACAGCCCCTCCTCACCCGACATACACAAAACTCAAACAGATGGCACCGGAGGTACCAGATCTGTCAGCCTCGTAATTAACTGATTAGGGCGCACAGGGCGCACACAGACAGGAGGAATCTCTCAATGAAAAAAATGCCAGGGACGACTGAAGGTGTCAGGGAGCCTTCCCTGCAAATCTCTCTTCATTAATGTTTCATGTGGAGCCAAATGTGTCATAATAAAATGGCTATTAATGCACTTATATTTATGATGACTCCCTCAGCACGGCTGGAGCTAACCTTTCCAATCAGAACTGAAGGTCTGTTTGTGACACTGTACCAGCAGCGGTCCCCTGGTGGGCCACCCTCTCCCAGGCCACCAGGTCGCAAGCGGGGCCGGCATGCGGGAGCCAGTCGGGTGGCTGGCCCTGCGCCCACCACACACTCACCTCCATCTCCGAGTTGTGCGCGTGCACCTTCTGCACCATGTCCTCGGCCTCACGCATGCGACGCGTCAGCTGGGGTGAGTACTCGGCTGCAGTCAGCTCGCTGTCGTAGGAACCCAGGATGGCGCGCATGCCGTCCCGCTCCTGTGGGCACAGAGGGCAGGGGGTCAGGATCCTCGAGAAGTTCAGGACTGTTTAGATTCGCAATGGCCTGACAGAGCCCAGCCAGGCCACCATAGGGCCCCCAGTTGCTCCAAACCAGCAGCCTGGGTGTGACCAGGGTCCAGCCGTGATCCAGGTACTCCCCACAATGGCCTGGCCTTGAGCTGCAGGTGAGTGGAGACCTGGGAGGCCAGAGACCCCTCCCTGAGCCTGCTGACGCCCCCAGCTGTGCAGAAGCCCTCTACTCCATTCCAGCAGGCACACCCAGGTTTCATAGTGGGAGGACCAAGCCACAGAGCAGCGTGCCCAGTGGGGCCCTGCAAGAACACCTGCTGAGGCTGTGTGTGCGCCAGAGTCGGGGCCCTGGGAGAGGTGCATGGCTTCTCCCACCCACAACTGCAAGATGCCTTCCCCAGGTGTTGACGGAGGGAGACAAGCTTCTGGAGGCCAACCAAGAAAGGCAGCAGGGACCTAAGGTCCCTGGGTGCAGCAACCGAGAGGGTCTGGAGGGCCTGCACAAAGGGCGCCCATGCCAGGAGAGGAGCTGCTGTCTCCCCTGTGAGCTGCCCACCACCCTTTCTCACTCCCTATGGGCCTGGATTCTTCCTCAGCCTGAGCTGGGGATAGGCACCCCATTTGTCTCCGTGCTGTCACCTGGGAAGCCCACGTGGAGAAAATCAAGTCATCGTGCAGAAGCCCAGGTGCTCTGAGCATGCTTCTCATACCCTCGTGCATGCGAACATCCTGGGGGGTGGGGGGAGGTCAGCTTAGTCTCCACAGGTCTGGTGGGGCCTGAGAGTCAGTTCTACAAACAGGCGCCCAGAGAGGCTGATGCTGCAGAATGCAGGACACAGAGCTCCGTGGCCTCTGCCTGGGGTTGGTTTGTCCCAGCTCTACTGGGCCAGCTGGGCACCCGAGGCCCGAGCACTCACCCCTATCCTCAGTTCCCAGACTAGTGGGGTAAGCTGCCGGTCTCAAAGGGCGGGTGGGAGGATCGATGCCGTCACAGACGCTGCATCTGCGCACTGCCCTATAAGTGAGGCCCAGTGATCTCATCCATGCTGGCAAACAGACTTCCATGGGTTCACAGGCATGTCCCGCGCCAGCCGTGGCACTGCCTCGGTCCCTCGAGGCCCCAGCCCCTCCCATCCGGACACGCTACCCGGACAGCCGGTACCAGCCCAGGCTCAAAGGCGCATTCATGGACCGGCAACAGCCCCTGACTTAGCGTCCTCTTGGTGGGAGAGGCCCTCCTTCTTGGGTAGGACTGGAGGAGGGGCAGAGCTCACAAGCCTCACGCCCGCTCATCACTCCAGCGTGGACTCCACAATTAGCCGATGACAAGAAATTCAATAAGTGAGAAATTAAAGTTACAAATCCACCTGGCACTGGTCGCACATCTGTGGGAAATCTGTTTCCAAAGGAAGGTTTATGGAGCATCCTCATTTCATTGGAACGCTCTATCTTGGTATTGACTTTTTCAGTTGGAGCTACCAGAGCGCCGCTGGCCCAGAGGGCGGGGGGCGGTGTGGGGGGCTTCCCTTCAAGAACAAGCTGCAGTCATCTCCTCCGCTGACCCCCTCCACCCCCCAACACTGCCCTTCCGCAAGAGGCTCTTCTATCACGTCCCCAGGGGAGCCGAGGATGGAAGGAGGAGTGCGTGAACTAGCAGATTCGTTGTCTGTCGTACCTGTTCAAGATATTGTTTTGTCATTACTAGTAAAGGACCAAGAAATATGCCGGTTTGATTTGATAATGACTTTTTAATGAGTGATTCCACTTGTGGTGAAGTTTGCTTCGTTTCCACTTGAGCAAATGCGGGTGATTAATCCCTGAACAAACACATCCGGTCAGGGCCGTGGAAGCCGTGGAGACGCGCCCGGGTACAAACTGAGAGATCGCTGCCGCCAAGCCCTGCGAAGGCTGCACATCCACCTCCCCCCGCCCCACCCCAGGCCCCAGCGTGTGCTGGGTGTGTGAGCAAACCAGCCAGCAGCTGCAGGCACGACCATGTCTGGCTCACAGGGGCAGAGGCTCTGCCTCCTCTGGTGCTGCTGAGCCACGGCAGGGACAGAGCCCAGAGGTGACATGCTACTCTCACAGCTGGCAAGGTGGCCCTGACCAGTGTCCGGATGAGCTGCGACTCCCAGGTTCCTGAAGAACAGGCCCGTCCTACTCCGTGCACTCCCCTGCACCAAAATACCCCAGCCCATGGTCCTAAGGAATGTGGTCTCTCACACGTGCGCCCCCCTCTCATGTAAATGGACCCTAAGCCCCCCCCGCCCCCACCGCTCTCCTCCTGAGTCCAGAGGGAGTGGGCAGCCCTGGAGTCCGGGGCAGGAGCTCCCTGGGGTGGAATGGAATTAGTACCCCACGTAGGGGAGAAGCAAAAAATGTGGTGCCTGAACAGGAGGGAAGATCAGAGAACCAGAACCGAAAAGTCAGTCTCCCCAGTGGGCAATCTTTAGAACGAAACAGACGGTGGCACACGCTCATAGGCACACCAGCACCGCCTGTGGGCGGACAACCACACGGCAGCTCAAGGCCGCAGGTGCGTGTAGGCACGTGACAGGAGGGAACAGAGATCCTGGCTAGAAAAGCAGACCCTCACTCCAAGCGTCAAACCAGTTCCAAAGACAAAGTTCTAAGGATCGTAAGGTCATAGTAAAATGAAATAAAAATAAAACTAGATCACAGAGCAGAGCACAACTGAAAACAGAACCGCAAACACAAGAACGAGGAGGATGAAACCCACAGCATCAGGTAATAGAACCACCAGAAGCGGAAGAAAAGGTTCACAGGGTGTGTTTCAAACAATAAAGGGATTTACCGTATCAGCAAGAAACAATAAGTTTAGAACAAAGACAAAAAGCAGACTAAATGAAGCTCAACAAGGTGAACAAACAATCAAACACTTAAGTAGGTAACACAGCAATGGGGGCTGTGGCTAAAGAGACACTCGGGGCTACAGAAGAGAACATGAAGGGACAAGCCGGACAGATGGGAGCCAGCTGCCGAGGGCCCCGGCAGAACAGGGGAGGGCAGGGTTTCCATCAACATTTGGGAGGAAGGGCAGGAAGGACAGGAGGGTAACCACCCAGCTCAAGTAACTTCCAGAAGTGACCACGAGCCCCAGCCTCAGCTGCAGCAGCCCGCAGCCCGTCCAGAGCAGGAGAGCCTGGCCGAGGCCCCAAAAGCCTGTCACGGGGAGGGTGGGAAAATGCTGCGGCAACAGGGCGGCTGGGGTAGAGGAAGCAACAGCTTCCCCAGAGGAGGCCACGCAGGACGGATCCCAGGACGCAGGCAACCGTGACTGCGTGAGGTCACCAGGTGCCCAGACTCTCCGGGTGGGACAGGGCGCATGAACGCAGCTCCTGGCCCGCCAACGAGGAAGGCGCAGCGGCGACACTAGACACTTAAATAGCTGAGACGCTGAGGCCACGGAGGAGGTGGGGAAGGAGTGGCACGCGCACGGGACAGGGCACAGGCGCACGCGCATGCGCACACACTCTCCGGAAGCTCAGCCAGACCCCTGGCCGCCTTCATATGGGTGAACAGGGCAAGGCAGGTAGAGGTGTGCTGCTCACTGTGCACCTGTTCATAACTTCTCAACTTTGTGATGTGGAGGTACCAGCCAGCGACGTACAAATCAGAAACAGAAATTCAGGAAACAAAGAACTAATATAAAATATAATAAAAGCCTTTAAGGGAGGCCTGGGGCCTTAAATTGTTCCAACAGGGATAAAGATATCATTAAGCACCTGCTACGTTAAATACGCCCGGGAACCTCTAAAAGAGGAGACATGGAGAAAAATATGAGAGAGAAAAACGATGCAAGAAAAAATTCAGCAGGAAGTCTATAACTTTAGTGTCTGCATTAGCAACCCTGAAAACTAATGAGCCAACCCATCAACACAAAAATAAGAGAAAGGATAAAACAACACAGGAACAGAGTGGAAGGATGAAAACGGGCATAGAAGAGGCAGAGGAAACAAAGACACAGCATGTGGCAATAGCCACTTCCCAAACTGAAATTAAGAGAGAGAGAAATAAAGAGAAAAGCAGAGCATCTCAGAATAAGGGGCAGTTACGAAAGGGGTAGGAGCTGCACTGAGACGCCAGTGGCCGAGCAAAGACTTCGCCATCAGGGGAGATCTTTCAAACCTCAGATCCAGCGAGCTCAGAGAACCTCAAGCAAGATCAATACCACAGAATCTACACTCTGGCACCTCCTGTGCAAACTTCAGGAAACCAAAGACAGAGAAACCCCAACAGAGTGAGGCGGCACGTGAGTACAAGAGGGAGTGAAAACGTCCAAGCGCTGAGAGGAAAATGCTGGGTGAAACAGAAGAGGAAATACAGACATCCTCAAACGGAAACAGCACGTGGGAGCATTCTCCGGAGAGGAGCAGTCGGTAGCAGTCAGAAGCTTGATCTACAGAAAGAAAGCGCGAGCTTCAGGGAAGGGGCTAGTGACGCCAAACCAGTGTCTCCCTTCTTCAGTCTGCACTGATCGCACAGAAAACGCTCACAGGGACGGGCCACCATGCCTCAGTGGGGAGGTGAGTCAGTGGTAGTGTGGCAAAAAGGGACAGAGGGAGGGCCTGGGGGTGCAGTGGAGTCAGGCTCCTGCACGCCCTGGGAAGAGGGACAGCGCTGCTTCAAAATGGGCTCTGACTGGGATACAACCGCACACTCAAGGACCACCGTGAGGACACATCACTTAAGAACTGTAATTCGTGAGTTAACAGAGAAAAAGAAAGAAATGGAGTCCTATAAGACGCTCCTGAAAACCAAACCAGGCAGATCAATAGGGAAGAATGAAAAAGAGCCAAGAACAAGTGTCCACACAGAAAATGGCAACAAACTTCACGGCTGCCGAACAACTGGATCAGTATCACTGTGAGTGACTGAGACACGCTAACTGAAAGATAAGTTCAACGCGGAGTAAAAAAAAGAAAGAAAGAAAAGGACCCAATTAT